TTGCTGAGAGGAGTGAGCTGCAGTGCTGTTTTTGGGTCCTGTTACCAGCTCTTGTTCCTCTGGAAAGGTCCTCTTGTGCCTCGGGTAGTGGGGGGGGGGTCCTGGGACTTCCAGGTGTGTCCTTATTCTCCACCTCATTGGGGGCAGGTCCGGGAGTGAGTCCAGGCGGGGCTGGGTTGGGTAAGCCTGCCCTCAGGCTCCACAACTGCTGTTAGCAGGGGTCAAAGCTCTCTTCTTTGCTTCTGTGCAAAGCTACCAGGAGGGGCTAAAATGGCTCCACTCAGCTGAAAAGTCTTGGTTTGGGGGGTGGGGATGTCTGAGACCTGCACTCTGGAGCAGGTCTCACTCCCCTCCAACCTCCCTGACTCCGTGGCCTTTCCCAGGCCTCTGCCAGCAAACAGGAACTCAGGCCAATGAATCTCCTCTGGCTGTGACGTGGGCCCAGAGATTCCCTACCCAGGATTGCAGCCTGAGCTTGGTGCACAGCCCTCTTTTGGGAGGAGGATTGCCGCTCAGGCATGCTGATCTGCCCCTGAAGGCACACACTCCTCAGTAGGCTCTTTCACAGATATCCCTTCTGTGCCCCAGGGCAGTGCGATCATGACCTGGGTGTATGGGGTCTGGTTTGCAGGCCTGTCCTCTGGGCCCTGGAGATCAATCCCTGACTTTGCCAGGGGGAGGGATGCTGTTCTCGAATCACCTACAGGGTACCCAAGCTAGATCGATTTCACTCCACCTCGGGATTTGCCCCACTCTCCTGGAGTCCCCAGGCAAGTAGCACCTGGGAGGGCTGGCAGGTAGGGAGCTCGCAGTCTGAGTATCCCTCAGTCTGCTGTAGGGCCCCAAACGGAAAGGTCCCGTTTCTTGGAGATGCCTCCGTGTGATGGCTAAATTGTCTCTCCGGGCACCCACAGGTAGGGAAGGGGAAGGAGAGAATGGAGCAATATGGCATCTGCCGATAGGCTCGGCTCTTTGGGCAGGGAGGTGCCCCAAGGAAGTTGGGAGCCTGGTGCCCTGTCCGCAAGAGGCCACTGCTCACTGGCGGCAGCCGTCTCTGGGCTGGTGTTGGCAGGTCTCTCCAACTGCTCAGGAGCCCACCAACAGTCCAAGATGCAAGGGAGGGGAAAGTTATCTGTTCCACCTACTCTTGTCGCTGGTCTCCAAGCCTCTGGGACCTTTCTCCTTCCAGTTCTCCTCTGCAACGTCTTCCCGTGGAGTCTCCTGTAGTTTCAGGCACCCTTCCTTCTGACCCTCACCTGATCTGTGTTTTTCTGCTAGTTTATTTTTTTCACTTTCTTCTAAAATCTGTCTTTTTTGCAGAGACACTCTGACTGGCGGCTTTTCTCATCCGCCATCTTGGCTCCTCTGAGATGAGGACCTGAGACAGAGTCTCACTCCGTTGCCCAGGCTAGAGTGCTGTGCATCATCCTAGCTCACAGCAACCTCAAACTCCTGGGCTCAAGCAATGCTCCTGCCTCAGCCTCCCAAGTAGCTGGGACTACAGGTACATGCCACCATGCCGTGTTAATTTTTTCTATTTTTATTAGAGGCAGCATTTCACTCTTGCTCAGGCTGAACTCTAACTCCTGACCTCAAGCAATCCTCCCGCCTCGGCCTCCCAGAGTTCTAGGATTACAGGGGCGAGCCACCGTGCCAGGCCTAGAACACCCAACTTTTTAACAAGCAGGGAAGCAGTGAGCCAGAGAGTGAAAGATGTAGAGGATAACTAATTTCATTATCATATTAAGTTTCATAATAAGAAGAAACAAAATAAGAATAATTCTGCGTATTCTAGCTTTGAAGGAATTAAAGATAAATGAGGTTAAATATTTTTAAAATCATGAAATATATATAGTGAAAGCACAAAATATACTGAAACTATAGTCAGATTATTGAATATATTTTGGTGGGGATATCTATGTAACTGTGAGTGCACTCGGATTAAGAAAATAAGGATTGCTTTACATATGCAAAATAATTATCTTTCATTTTTTCACATTTTTCCATTACTGTTCTTCCTTGCATTATAGCTATGCTGATATTGGTTAATTCACTTTTATTTTTGTTTTAATATATATAAAAAGGACATTTCACTTGAATGTTTATTTTCTCATTACTATTGGAAATTAGCTCATAAAAGTTTCTCTGAAATCTCTAAGTTTAGATTCCAATACAATGCCTCTAATTTAATATAAAATATTCACTTTTATAGCATATATTTTCATTGAGATGTTATGGTTCTAATGGATGCCAATCTAATTTCCATTCCATTTTCCATTTCCTTTCCTTTGCCTATGAACTAATAAAAATATATTTAATACACTATGTAATGGTTCAAAAAGGACTAATTATATTTTGTTAACAATGTTAAAGACTGCCATTCTCTAGTTCCTTTTCTTTTTTGCTATAAAATAAAAAACCTTTATCATTTCTATTAATACCAGTTAAACACAGAGCACTTGTTACTACCCAGGATAACTTATTAGCAATATTCTCAGTCTTCACTCTAAAGGTTAGCCAGAGTCTTAATGAGTCTTTGCTGCTGCCTGTTGTATGTTTAGCATGCAATAGACACATGCTATAAACTTTTATGTTGCTTACTATTTAAAGAATTACAGAAAGATTCCATACATAAGATCTTGTTTAATCTTCAATACTACCCAGAGTATGAAATCCCTTGTATGAATGAAGAAAATGAAATTTAGAAAAATGATTTTCCTAAAGCTACACAGTGCCTAAAGGGATTCTCAATCCATTTCTCCATTTTGCTAGCCACCTATATAATGAAATGTCCTTTCTCGTCAGATCTGTTACCATATACCAAATCATGGCATGTCTAATAATACACAGAATATTATATAATTTTAGTCTTCCCCAAGTATTTACATGGCACTGCTATTAATAAAATAGCAATGAAACTATTTTTTAAACTGAGTTATTTGTTCATGGTATTTTCTTGAATGTCTAAAGCAGTTTATAATGTATCTTTTCCTTTTAAAAAAGCAATCAGCTTCGAAATCGGAATACATGTGTGTTCTTGACCTCTGCCAACTAGTCACATGAAGTATTGATTGCTGAGTCACAATTTCCTCTTCTAAATAATAAGAAATTTGAACAAGAGAACTTTAAAAATGTCCTTCCAATTTACATATGCCATGTCTATGCTGGAAATGATATGTAAGAATAGTAAATGGCGGGGGGTTCAATGGCTTGTCATGAAGAATAATTGAAGACAAAAAGAACATATGTATATATTATAACATAGCATATTGGAGGCTACTGTAGTGGTTAACCATGAAATGACAAGAGTATGAATTTGTAGGGGACAGTGATTAACTGTAAGTACAGGTGCAGGAATGAATGAGAGGGGTGCTACACAAAAAAGACATGACAGCAACTGGTGACTGATTCAACACAGAGCATAAATTAATATTAGAGTCAAAGGTACGTTCAAGGTTGAGTGGAATAGTACGTCTAGATTGAAATGGGGAAACTAAGGAATATAACAACTAAAAATATGGTGAACCTGGTTGGGAACATGCTACATTACAAGGGAAAATAGTCATACGAATTCCAGATGAGGGGACTGAATCGAAGGCTTGGGATATCCATCTGAAAAATCACCAGAGTAGAAGTAACAGATAAAGATGTAGGGAAGAATCTCTCTAGAGCAAGAGAAGAGCAAAGTTAGACTTTGAGCTTCTACAAATCCTGGCTATGTGTCAGACCAAGGTCACAGAGAAGAAGGGAACTGCATTGCTGGAAGGATGGCCTTATAGGGTAATGGGTACCGACAACCATCAGTACTGACAAGACCCCCCCCTCTAGCCTAATGGTAGAAGGCTATAAGCCCACTGTTTCCTTTCTTCTCTGATCTGATGGGTTTCTCATACTTCCCAGCCATCAGGGTTCTCCAAACTTCAGGTACTCCGTGATGAAGAAAGAAAGATGTACTGGGGACCATTTCTTCACTCACTTTTTAACAAAATCTTTCTTCTGTATTGTGTACTGCTAGCTCTTTGTTTATTTCAATACCAAATCCAAGTGAAAACAGTTTTAAAGTCCAAGACTTCATCTATCTTTAAACCCAACCAAGCTCAATGGTTCTATCTTTTTACATCTTCAACTGCTTGGTATGTTACAATGGTTAATGAATGTTCAGTGGAGGAATGAATGAACGAAAAACATGAACAGAGACCAAATGGTTGAGAAACACTCATAGTTAGGGAGGTGAAAAGAGAGAATAAATCAATGAAAGAAACAGATTAAAAAATCATGCTATCTTCATGGGTAGTGATAATAGTTAGCAATTTTCTTATTCATCAAATGGGAAAGTATTTTTAAACACAATGGGTGCTCAGGAAACACCGTACCACCAAAAGTTAGAAATTACATCAATATATTCAGGCCATGCAGTTATATTTTTGAAGGAAAAAAAAAATAACACATCAGTATAAGGGTTACCCTGATTGGAACTAGTCAGCTCCCTTTACTTAGAGCATGATATTGATGACATTAAGGTGGCAGGTACAGTGCAACTAGCTGTCTTGTGTGCAAACTCTAGAATGGTGCCTTTCAATTGCTTACTTACGAATCACATGGGGGATCTTGGTGCACTTGGAGATTCTGCATTTCTGACAAACTCTCAAGCCCTAAGGTTCCCTCCAGAAATGATCACACCTTAAATAACAAGGCTCTAGATGATTGTTCTACATATGCATGGCCCTGGTGACAACAGATGCATGTGAGAATGCCAGTAGCTGGCACTAATTCAATATTCTTCTAACAAAAAAAAAAAAAAAAAAACACATACCTGAACACTGCAAGTTCAACTGGTGCAAGTAGGGAAGAAACCACATAAATTGATATGATAGAGGAATGAGTAAGTTTTATGTAACCTCCCAAGCTATAGAGCTTGGTTCTATAGATTCAAAGCTCCTAGTTTACTAAGAAATTGGGTTCAATAATAGTTATATAATTTACCTCTAATGTTATTTCAGGTAGTTATAATCATTTGTACCTCCAGCATATCACTCAGCTGCTCACTTTTAAGTATGTCATTTGCCTCACTTCCTCTACCCATTTTCTCCCACGTAACATTTTATCAAATTGCCATTAATTTTTGCCAAGGGCAATTACTCCTTCTTGTTGGCTTTCTTATTCGTTTCTTAAAAATCTCTTTTGGGTTCTCTTTTCTCCAGTCGCATTTAATTCTGAGATTGTTCATTAGTTTTGTGAAATTGTGAGAAGAGGGAAAGTATCTGATAGAAAGCACACACAGCAAGAGCCAAGAGTTGTGAGGAAAGATTTCATTGACACCCTAAAGGGAAGGATGATATCCTATATTTTAACTTATTGTGGATAGGAAAACAACTCCCTCTCTAAGAAGACCACCAACGAAGAAGCTCACACTACTAGGAGATAGGAATTTCTTCATAAATTTGGGCCCTTAAAAGATAAGCATATATAACACATGAGAGATGGAATAACAAACTCACCTGACAAAGAAAGGGATTACATTTCTTTTCTTTCTTTCTTCTTTTTTTTTTTTTACATCTGTGCTGTAAAAAAGGATTTCATTTCAGCAGGTACCCAGCTGAGTCTATATAGGAAATTGATGCATTAGGCTTATTAGACAAGTGCAGATATAAGGTCTATAAAGATAGTAGATATTAAATGCTTAATGAAATATAAGGTAAAAAAATGAGAACTTTTAGAAGTTGATGAAGTTAGCAAACAAACAGTAAAGGCAGTGAAAATTCAATTATTTCCTCCTAAAAATTCCTTCAGGATAGAATTTATAGCCTGAAATATGGCACACGAGACCATTCCTGATAGGATTCCTGCATACTCACCCTTGCAACCTCTGACTTCAACCTTGCTTTACACACACCCTAGCCTGTAGCCCTAAAAAACCATTTGTAGTTTCACACATGCATCCCTGTGTATTTATTCCTCCACTGTGCACAGGTCTGACATATCCTTTCTTTTCTTATTTGCCAAGTAAATTTCTACTCATTATTCTACATTCCACTTGAGAGCTACTTATTTTGTGATGCTTTCTCTGGGGACTTCAGGGAAAGTCCTTCCACCCTGTTCCATAGCATCTTACATATATAACTGAGTCTTGCAGCATTGCAATAATTATTATAAGTCTGTCTCCCACACTGGACTATGAATCCTACTGAGCCCCATTACACAAATGAAACAGTATTTTATTTCTGTTAGTATTTCCAGAATTGAATTCTTATTATTTATTGTTTATTGAATGCTCACTAATAAGTTTAATAAATGTCTGTAAATAATTTAAAATTTTTATAATTCTTACTAATCACTACTTTGAGATTATCTTTTGAATTTAGGATTCTCTACTTTCAATTAAATTTTTTTTTTTCCCTTTAGGATTGATTCTTGAAAGCATAGGTTTACAAGGACACCCCACTACTCCAGACTTTAAAGTTTCATAGCTGGACTAAAACCTTATTTTAATTGTTATCTCTTAGCATCCAATCCCTTCCCATGGCCGATCTTATGCATAGTTTTGGAGATAATCTTCCCTAGATACCTATTCCTATCTAAAATGGTTTAGCAATCCTTGTTTGCCTATTTGATCAAATGTTAATATTTCATTGCAAGCCCTACTTCACACCTTGTCCTCCACAAATTGCACTATTAATGCATCTCTCTGTTTGGAGCTCAATGCATTTATTTTTTCAGACAAGTTAGTTACAGTGAAAAATCCCTCCTTGATGATGGTCTAGCCAGTGCTCAACTTGCATTCCACTTCCTTGGTAAAGTTTCCTAATATTCTGGCTCATTTAGCAAGGACTTCACCATTTAGAACTGTTTTCTCATGCACGTCTGGTGTAAATTTGTTTTATCTTCTTCCCTTCAGTACTATCTCAGGGACCAGGAAAAGAGTTTCAACCTTTTTTTGGTATCCCTTCCCCTCTCTAATTTTGCACTTTACTAGATATAATGAACACATCAAAATAATTTTTGATTTATTGACAAATACTTCACCACATTTTGTTACCTTATATTGGCACAGAACACCACATAAATTCTACATAATAACCTTGCTTTCATGTTGCCTTCTAGCTGGTTCTTTTATATAAGTCACCTTAACCTATGGATTATAAAACTGTAAGGAATAGGAATGAATTTCTATATGGAAAGTCACTGGAGTATAGTAGAAAATGCACTGAACTGTGAGTCAGAAAACACAGGTCTGAACGTTGCCACTTTGTATGCTTTTCTGGAGAGTTATCTTTTATTGTCATGATTTTCTTCATCTGTAAAATAAAAAGAAGACCTTCAGAGATGTTGTGAGAGTTAAATGAGATATATTCTGAAACATTTTGGAAGTTTTAATATGCTATACAATATAATGGATTCCTTTTTATTATACCTTCAAAATTCTTTTGTGGGCAGTGAATGCTGTGTACAGGGCAGTGTCAGGAAAGCCTCCCTGGGGGTTTTGGGTCAAGTTGGGTGGGCATATGTCTCAAGTTTTTAAAGCAATAGGTGCAAAGTCCCATCTTCGGCTTTTTGTTTTTCCTTCAGGGTACAAATTATTACAGTCCAATACAATTTTTGGCAAGCCATTTTTCAGAATTTTCCATCTGCTTACCAAACATGACCTCTTGTAGTCCTACTTCTTGCTTTTCCAACTCACCCATGAAATTTGCCTTGTCAATTCTCTCTTCTACCTCGCTGCGGTATCTGTCATACCTGGAACACTCTATTCTTAACCTTGCCTGCTTTTCTTTCCCGTGGGCTCCTCTTCCCCTCTGCTGGCTGCCAAGGAGAAGCGCATTTATTGGCATTGCCCCCAAACAGATGCTTGCCTCTCTCCCTTCCCCCTTTCTCTTCCAGCCAAACCATCACCTGCCAAGGGCTGGTGGTTGCTGCCCCCCCTGTCCACTGCCTCACACTGCTTCAGCGCGAGTCCTTTTTGGCAGCCTCTCCTGAAGTTCCCCTGCCCGCGCTCGCCAGCGCGCTGCTTGCCAGCAGCCTCCCCCTCTCGCCTGCAGCTCTCCTAGCTCCCGCCAGCCTCTCCCCTGCTCGGTCTGCGCGCAGCCTCTTCCTCCCGCCCTTGCCAGCTGCTTTACTCGCCTTTCCTCAGGCTGCTCCCTCGCCTTGTTTCCCAGCCCTTCCCCTCGCAGCTGGTTTCTTTCCAAAGCTCCGGTCCCTTTGGTCAGATGCTTTGTTTAACACCCGGGATCACCTCTCCTGGGTCCCAGAGTGTACGCGTATCCACCGTTCACTTGGAAAGTGAGCATTTTCATCCCGCTTCTGTATTTGACTAGTCCCCCACCAAAAAGCCATGCCTACTTCCCGAGCCTGGAAGTCGGAGGGTAGCAATGGTAGAGGAGATTCAGGGAGACACCAGGCCACAGGCTCAGCGGACCCCAACAAAGTTTTGGACTCTTGGGACTTGCCATCGCAGGCTTCCCAAACTTGGTCAGCCCTGGCAACCGACCCGAGCCACCAAGCAGCACACAGTGACCCGGCGCTCCTTCCACTCCCAGCGACCCCGATCTTCCAGGGCCGCTCCCTGAGAATGCCAACCGCTCTCCAAGACCAGGCCGGGGCCATTCCTCGGGCCCCACCAGGGTCTGCAGCCTGAGCCCCACCCAGCCCCTGGCTGGGGAGGGGCGCACTTGTTTCTAGATGCAAGGCGGCTGGGAAGACAGGAGGAAGTGAAGGAGCCGCCCAGGTTCCTGGCTGCCAGACTCGGGAATGAGGGTTGGGTGACATTGTTAATGAGCTCTCCTCAAACCAGTGCCCTTCCCGCGGGTTGGTTACCTCCGGTGCGCCCTACCGTGGCAGAGAAGCCTTTATGAGCCGTCTCCTTTAAGAAGCGCGCGCGCGTCTGGGTGTCGGGCTGTGTCTGCGCGCGGGTGTGTGTGTGTGTGTGTGTGTTCGTGTGTGTGTGTGTGTGTGTGTGTGTGTGTGTGTGTTCGCGTGTGTGTGCGCGCGCGCGCCCCCGCGCGCGGTGAGGGCCCCAGGAGCCAGGCAGACCCCGGGAAGGAGGAGTTATGTAGATTACGGATGAACATTCTGGAGGGGAGCGAGAAGGGAGAAGGAGAAGCAGAGGCGAGAGAGCGAGGAGCGGCGGAGGCCCTTCCCGCAGAAGCCGGGGGCGGCGGCGGCGGAGGAGGAGTAGGCAGTGGAGGAGGAGGACGCACGGGCTGGAGGCGGCGGCGGCAGCGGCGGCGGCTGCTGCTGCGGCTGCGACTCGGCGCTTTGAGCCGGAACCGCCGGTGAACTTGGGCGCCGCGTTCCCGGTGACGGACCCCGGAGGATGGTGAACAGGAGCTGCTGCTGACCCTTCCTCCGCCGCTGCTTCTCGGGGGCTGCCGAGCGCGGGGCCCCCGTCTCCTCCCCTTGCCCGGCTGTGGGTGAACCTGCAGGCACCCTACCCACCCGGAGGACTTTTTTTGAAAGGAAGCGAGGGAGGGAGGGAGAGGGAGAGAGGGAGAAAACGAAGGGGAGCTTGTCCATCCATTGAAGCACAGTTCACTATGATCTTACTCACATTCAGCACTGGAAGACGGTTGGATTTCGTGCATCATTCGGGGGTGTTTTTCTTGCAAACCTTGCTTTGGATTTTATGTGCTACAGTCTGCGGAACGGAGCAGTATTTCAATGTGGAGGTAAGAGTACCAGGGCTTTCTTCCTCCTCCCTTGCCTGAAACATTTTGTTCACTCCTCGAGTCCTTGCAGCTCAGAGCAGCCTGGGTCTCAACACATTGTTTCCCTTCCAGACGCCAAGACCCTTGTTGAGTTTCCCTGTGTCTTAGGTGATGGATGCGCGTGAGCCCGAGAATCCGTTATCCCCGGCAGCACAAAGCACGATGCTGCGCGCTCAGACACAATTGTAGCCGGTCCATGCTTTTCACGGAGAAGTCCTACATATAGCAAACGTGTAGCTAAACAAGGCAGCTTGACTTTATGATGGATAAATAGCTCGGGAAAGGCAGAATTAATTGCTTGGCATCATGTACTGCCTTGGTATTGTTCCTGAAACCTTTCTCCCCATGTTTGGTGCCTAACAAAGGAGCTTAAAATCAAAGAATCTAGAGGAAAGCATGGGAATACTTGATGTGTTTAATAACATTACTTTGTAATAAAACACTTGAGTAGACAGAGTCTTTTTCTCATTTAGACATAACTTAATACGCTGTAAATAGATCTGACTACACAGAGGACATAAAATCCACCTTTTTAAGTGTCTTCGCTCCCCCTCCCCGGCCAATTGAAAATAAACGTGGCACAATGTAATAGTTCTGAGGTGTGTTTTTAATTTGATTTCACACTTTCATGACAAAACTGAGAGGTTTCAGCTGTGATTTGCTTTACTTTGATAGCTTTGAGAACAGACAGCACAAAGCAAGAGGGAACTTAAGGATAAGGACTTGTCAGACCTCTGCCAAAGTACTCTTCCTGTCATCAACTCAGCACTAAAGCCAGTAATGTGCAATAAATCAAGGAAAGAGTGTGTACACCTGGGCTGTGACACAAGTTTATCATGTACACGATGGAATACAGAGACAGTAAGAGAGTTTTATTAAAATATACTCCTTTTGATTAGGTCTGATGTCTTCTGACATCTCAAAAGAATTATGATTAGTTCTTCAAGGAGTGATATGAGTTTTCGCTTATATTGTTAATATTACAAAGCTTACTGTCATTTTGTTGGGAGTGTGTGTTTACACAATAGCAGGACCTGTTGCACAGTATTTGAACATGCTTCATGTAACCAATTTATATACAATGTGTGCATAACAAATGCCATGTGTGAAGGCATAGTCTGAATATAACTCTGTTTATATAAGATGTTCTTAGGACTCCATGTAATAAGTGATGGTTGGTACAGAAACAAAGTATTTGAAAAAGTAAGAACCATTATCATCAAAAGAGTTAAAGTTTACAGATGTTAAGTATGAATAAATTACACAGAAACCCCAATGTGAAAACCAAAATGGTTTAACCCTTTGAAATATACCACTTTGTTTTTCTGAATAAAAAGAGAGAGTGGGGCTAAAAGTCTAGACTTTTCTTGGTTTCAGATTTGAACTTTTGGAATTCCATGCCACGGATGGATTTTTGTAATTAACATTTAAATCAAAAGCTACTTTAGTGTTGAAATGAAGAAATAATTAGTTCATAGGCTAGAGGAATGCAAGTGGCAAGCTGTTATTTATAATGTTGTAAACAGAAGGGCCTATTGCTTTAGATGGAGGGTAGTGTAGATGGTGCTGAGGTGAGGTGGGTGGGTGGGGGAGGTGGTCAAGTAAGTGCTAGGTTGTGTCCTGCTCTCTATGGGAAGGGAGAGGAAGCCTGGATTGATGGCCATCTGCTTTGGGAGAGTCTTGGATTTGCTTTCAAAGAGTGGGATAACATCAGTGTTTTGACAATTATTTGGTTTCTTTTGTGAGACTAAACATAAGTTAGACATTTATTTCTTTATATTGGAATCCCTCAGTCAGTTCAATCAGATATTATGATGCAAGAAAAAGTTATGATTTTACTAAAAAAAACTGATTTAATTTTGAATTCCATTGACTTCTCTTTCTTCACTGAGATATGTGTGAAACAATGGTTCATGGAGAAAAGAGTTATTTTTTCCCATTTTTAGAGCATTTAAGTTATTCTATCCATATTTATTGCACGGATTTAAGTATGTTGGATAAAGTCTTGTGTCATTTGAGACCTTAGAAAGCTTACTTAATACAAAGGGAGTTTTCTACTTATTTAGAGTAGATTATATGCTATAGTTTGGATTATTCCCAAATAGGGTTTTTTTCTGTTTTTTTTTTTTAAGCTCTTGAGCACTTCTTTGCTTGGATTTATAAGCTTCTTTATGTGTAATAATAACCTCTCTTTTCCAAAATTATAAGAGTAGCTGCTGGTTAAATCAAAATATTGTAAAGAACATAGAATGACAGGATGTTTTCTGACATGAATTTCTGCCTGATTCACTTTTATTAGATGTTTCTTTTTGCTAGGAAACACTAATGGGAAGAATAGTCCATCACTTCCTCTTCAGAAGAGGTACTTATATTGTGTTCCTCATTCTGGTTGCAAAACATACACACTGGGAATGTTTCATTTGATTGATTCTCAAGGACAGTCTTAAAATAAACAGCAATGGTATCAATCATGCATGAAGCTCATATAATCAAAATTTTTTTTCTAGTAAGCACACCAAGTTATAGTTGGAACAAAGCTTCAGAGAGCACTTTTTATGCTGACAGCTAAGATTACAAGACTTTATTTATCATTGAATTTAACAAATTGTGGTACCCTGATACTTTTCATCTCTATGATTTAAGGTTTAAAAGCCTGTATTTTTCTGGGGAAAAGTATTCATGTTAACGCTTTCCTGTCTGATTTTTAAGAGTATAAACATTCAGAATTGTCAGTTATCAACGTGAGAGATATTTTTTAACATACTGATGAAATCCTGTTATAGAGAAAGTGCATTTGGTTTTGTTTGTTTGTTTGGTCTTGTATTTTAAGAAGCAAAATGGCACATCTTTTATAGCTAAGAAAGGGTCAGACACTCACTACCAGGAGTAATACTATGAAAGAGACCATTTTTCTACTTATATTTCAGGTGAAACACTTTTAATGTTAAGTTTTCAGTATATACTTACTTGGACAAAGACTTTTGCATATCATTGGATCCTTTTTTGGGTGTGGGTCAGTGTGTAATAATTAGCATGAGGAATTAGCAGAGGAACATCACTAATATTAAATAAAAGTAAAAAACTGCTGTCATTGGGCAGCAGTCTGAATCAGAGGTGTTCATTGGTCAGAAGAAGCTAAATTATTAACAAAGAATTATGATTTAATCTTTACTGTCTTAAAGATCATTTTGTCCCTAAAATAGTTACCTTGTTAGTGGGGATTTTCATAATCCTGTGAATTTTTTTTGGGGGGGGGAGGATGCTGCAAGTACTTTTGTTATGAAATTTGAGGGAGAATGTAGTTTGTGATAGTAATGACTCTCATCATCAACTTTGGTAGTTTGTCGGTTGTTGCATATGTGAACAACATATTCCTTATTGATTTTTAAACAATGGCACACAATTCCAGTGAAGAAAAAATTTTTAAGCCAATTTAATAATAAAATGAAAACATGCAAATCTCTGAGTGATGCATATATCAAAGTGTAAGAAGATGATTACTCTTATAACAGAAAAAAATCTTGATACAGCAAAATTTTATTTTATTGTTCATAATTAAAGAACGAAGAGAGAGTGTAGATTTCAGTGGGATATTTGATAAAAAATATTATGAATTGTCAGTATAACTATTTGCTAAATTTTTCTTGCAATACGTTTATTTAACTGATCTAGAATTTATTTACCTTTGTCCGGTTTGTCTGAAAATACTAAAAGTTCAGAGTTTGCTTTGGGTAGCTTTGTATTGCATGTAAAATTGGCAATAATTGGTCATCAGACATTTCAGAGATAAAAAATTATATTTTTTTAGATGTAGATTTTAAAATGTCATATGTTGAGACACTTTTTTTCTTATCTCTGGCTCTCTACTTGCTTAAATAATCAAGGTACATTATTTAAGTTGCTCATGGAAGGATGGTGATACCATGGTTTCTTGAGTAAGGAACTCTCCTGACTATATCCTGTAATTCTCCACTGTAGCAGTTTATCAGTTTATAACTGTCCAGCACCAGGGCCTTTTGACTGATTCATAAAGACGTTTATCTATTGCAAGATTGCAGGCTTAGCAAGACATCTCAAATATGCTGGGCATTCAGAATGCTCATAAAGGCTAAAAACTTTGACCAAGGAGGCCAGAAGGCTCAGTGGTCCTAAGGTTCCCCACCTTCTCCTACATGTCCCACTCTGTTCCTTTCTCTATTCAGAGTTGGCTGTGCAGGTTTTCCTCAGATCTAGCGTTATTCATGAGAATTTTTTAGTTGAGCATATGCCAGTAAGGTGTGTTTTCTCCTACTATCCCCTTGAGAAATCCATAGAGAGTAACGATCCAAGTTCATCCCTCTCTATAGAGCTGGGCTTTCTCATCCAATCTCTTCTCCCTTATCAGTTAAGGATAAAGTTGGGTGCAACAAAAACTTTCTTATTTCTGGAGTCAGAAATAAGTGACAGATCTAAAATTTCTACTTTTTTATGCATGCTAATCAAGGTTGTTAACATAAGAAAATTTTAATGCACTTGTTCAGTGGTATAATTCTTTTATCTGAAGTTGGATTAATAAATTATTTCATGTAAATTTATTTGACTTACTGACTTACTCCAATTACTCAAAATGTACCTGTTCAGAATATTTGGTAGATGACTAATTGGAATTAGTTCAGGACAACAACAACAAAAAAATCAAACATTTGAATCAATGAGTTACATTTATTCAGTGTTGGAAGAGAAAGATTTATTTCTTTACTGTTTCAGGAATGTTTTGACTTTTCAACGTTTATATTTGAAACTGAGAAAGTTATTTTTCGTGTTACTTTCCATCACAATTTATTTTAAATATCTGTGAATGTAATTATATCCATAGATTCATTTTTTTATTGTGGAGGAATATAGTAATTAAGAGCACATATTCTGAAACTAGGCTGTCTGGTTCTAGTTCTATCCATTTTGCTTGCATGTCATATAATAAT